CTTAATAAAGAACAGCACGAAAACTGCAGCCAAACCATTTGAATGCCTTTTAGTGCTTGACTATAGGTGCTCCACAGTGCACACAACTTGCAATTACTCAACTTACAAACAAAAGTAATGATTTAATCATGCATCTGAATTTCAGACCTCTGTGCCACTGTCAGTTTTTATTGATAGTTCTTTATGCAATGAAGTATAGGAGTTTGGAATAAGCTACTCAGCAAAGTCAATGCTCTGGTTTCTTTCAAGATGCAGTCGGGTGAGGTTATTGGATTAAATAACTACTAAATACTTAGCACTCTAGGTATGCCAAATAGCATCCTTTCATTTGTAACCTTTCTTATTTTCTTGTTATTGGTCTTATGGGCGTTTCCTACAGAGATAATCAACAAAAAATGAATCTTTAACATTACATGTGGGGTGACGGCAGACATTAAAAATCCGGAAAGGTACTGACCAACCCAACACGGGACTTCAAGGTCACCTGCTCAAAGATCTGATAACACAAGGAGAAGATTAGTTTAGGAGCATTCAGGAGACGTTTCTTTACACAGAAGAGTGGCAGTCTGCAATGATCTCTGCAGCCATCTGCTGAAGGGTGACTCCATGAGACCCTTTGAAAAAAGCAGCTTGACAGAATGATCTATCTTCAGGCTATTAGCAATAAAAGGTAAAAATGGACCAAATGGCTGCATCTCAGTGCAACTTTATAATCTCATTTAAAAAATATATAGAAATCACCTTAATTTTTAGTTCAGGTGGGTAGCTGCGTCAGCATGCGTAGGCTGTAAATGAACAAGTAATAAGTTTAGTACATGCTGAAAAAAGAAGAAAGAAACCTTGAAGAAGGCTCAACGGCTGAAACCTTAATTTGCCGTTTTCTTTTGTCAATACCTGTAAATAAAATGCTATACTAAATTGTACATTTAGTGAAGAACAAATCAAAGGTGTTCACCTTTGTTATGTAATTGCAATAATAATATTTGGTCTCGTAGCTGAATTATTCAAATTTAAACTATTATTTCTATAAGACTCAGATGTGTAGGGGGGCATGTTAGCAATGGCTGCTTAATTCTTTCGTGCTCTCGCTTGTTTAAAAAAAACAATCTAGTCAAAGTCGTAATTTAAATAATTTAAAACAAACAGTAAGTGTTAGGCGACAATGGAAAAACGAAGAAGAGGACATAAAAACACTCAAAACTACCTGACAAAGTATTTTGAAGAGGAACGGGGAGACCGAAATGCCACGACCACCAGGCAGTCAAGACCAAATCGTAAGCGAGCTAATCAGCCCCAGCAGCGGGTGATTATTAACAAACGCCGCCGCACGAGTTAAACCACCTGCGCACACTCACGGTGCGGTGCGCACTGCTATTTATACCCTCTTCACCTGTTTCCCACTG